TGGCGGTCGTGGCGGTGGCGGCGGCGGTGGTGGTGGTGGTCGCGGCAATGGACACGGTCCTCCTCAAAGTCGGGCCTCGGCACCACGGAGCAGAGGTGGTGGAACGAGCGGGGGAGGGAACGATAGCATCACTCTGGTCCTCGACTCTGATGAAGGTGAGCTACGTATTCATTCTTGGCATAAGCTTAGGGACCAACTCTTCCAGACTTCATCATGCCACCACCTGTCCCTCGTAGCCGTGCAGCGCCAAGTTCTTCACACCAAGCTGGACCTTCCAATTCGGCCAGATCCACGGGTTTGAAACCTCCGTCAAGTCGACCTGCAGGCTCGTCGAATGCAATCGCTTCTTCTTCGAAGCCTCCATCTACCCGACCTACTCAACCAGCGAATAGGGCCAGTGGCAGCGTCCAATGCGATTGCGGTATCCCTGCTGTCCAGAAAACGGTGAACAGCGAGTCATCAAGTAAAGGAAAGCCGTATTGGACCTGCGGCAACAATAAAGCGTGCAACTTTTTCCGAATGGATGCATCCTTGGCCGATGGACCAGTCATTCCAGCCAAGCGAGCGTTCTCAGCGGTACCTTAGTTCTTCCAAATCGGATTCGTACGATATCTCATGACCCCTAGCAGCGCCAGGACAGCGATGCCAGAGTCGACCGAATGTGCAAGTGCAATGTGCCGGCCGCTCGAAAGGCAGTGACAAAATCCGACAGCCCGAACGTAGGCAGATATTTCTGGAAATGTTCAGAGTCTCAGCCGGGTGGAAAGGATGGATGTGGATTTTTCGAGTGGGACCAGCCTTTGGACGGCGAAATATCGACGCCGTGGGCGGTACGATCAGAGGCAGCATCTCCAGCAACTGGCGAATGTTACAAGGTTTGAACCATCCTTGCATGATGGTGATATTTTTAACAACCTTTCAATCAGTGTCAGGAACCTGGCCATTGGGCTGCAAGTTCGTCGTTTCGTCTACATTTCACGTCGTTATCTCACCGAATATTCCGTAGATTGTCCAAACGATGGTGGTAATAGTAAACGACAACGAAGCTTCGGATCCGCACCGAAATCCGCACAATCCACAGTGACTTGCTTCAGGTGTCAAGAAGAAGGCCACTTCAGCACAAGTATGTCAATTTTTCAAGCTAGTCACGTTTCCATGCCTAAAATGATGTAGATTGTCCAAACGGCGCTATTGGAAAATCGACCTCCGGGCGTGGTGGTGGGTCCTCAGATACTGCCTGCTTCAAGTGCGGAAAACCCGGTCACTGGAGTAATGGTACGTCCCAATTGATCCCATCACGATGACACTTTTAATTGTGGCAAGATAAGCTTGTACCGGCGAAGGCACCTTGTCGCGAACTTCAAGCAGTACTCGAGGCTCAGGAAAAGGAGGGCGAGGTCGGGGTGCAACAAGAGCAAAGCGTGGTCGTGGTGGCAAGAAGAAATCGGCATTTGGAGCCCCGGATGGCTAGGGACTACCTCTTTACTATGAGTTGTGAAATCATCTTGTGGCTATTTGCTGCGCCTACTTACGTTATTTTCGATGTCAATTTCACTAGCCGAGCTATCTCAACGGAGCAGCAAGTGGGGAAGTTGTGGGGAAGTTGTGATGTCCACTTCAAGAACCCCGGGTATTGCCGACGTTGTGTATTGAATGGCTCAAGTGCCCAAGTGAATGCCCAAGCTTTCCACTGTACTGCGAGAGTTCGCTAAACCGCTAACTTGGCGGGTGCTGTCGTGTCTTGCCCTGTGCAGAATATAGGTACGCCGTCGGATCGATCTTCCTTCCCTGCCAACTAAGCGCGGCAAGCACTGGCAAGCAGCACCACTTCACGAGAAGGACATCTGCACTTCCTAGCCTCGTCTACCCGGACCTTCTTCAATCTCCATGCGTCACCCTCGACCTCCACACGACATGCGGGGTACAGGTGCTTAAAACAGCGAACCGCTGAAGTCAACTTCCTTGTCTCTCTCTTCTTCCCTCTCCGAGATCTTCTACTTCTATGTCTGTTCTCACACACTCCTCTTACGATGATACAATTTCCGGAGACAAGGAGAAAGATAGAGTGACGGTAGTGGAACAGGCTCCGGAACAATCTGTGCTGGTGTCAGAAGAGGAGTACAAGAAGATCCTCCGCAAGCTCGATATTCACCTTCTACCATTCGTTTCCGTGTTGTATCTTCTCTCATTCTTGTGAGTTCCTCTCGGCTCCTCTATACCTGGCTATTAACATCATCGCACAGGGATCGGGCAAACATTGGTGAGCATACTCTTGGCTCTGAAGAAGTCCAGAACCACGGAAGCTCATTTGTAATAGGCAATGCAAGGATCGCTGGATTGGCCGACGACCTCCATTTGGACGGGCTCAAGTACAACGTCGTAAGTATTCTCCTCGATATTATACCGGGCCTATCAGGACTGAAAGGATCTTTCCAGGTTGCTGCGGTTTTCTTCGTATGTCATGAATTTATACTCTGTGGCGCACTCGGATTCTTACCGCGTCGTAGATTCCATATGCTTTCGCAGAAATTCCCTCGTAGGTTTATCTTCCTAGTGTTCAGTGCTATGCACTGATTTTTCCCTGCAGCAATATCTGTCTAAAGCTCTTGCGCCCCTCTATCTGGAGTATGCTTTTCAACACATCGATCTTCTATTTAAACACTGATCACTTGTACACTTGTAATAGTTCCATCTATCATGGTTGCCTGGGGTAAATTTCCTCCCTCTACTTGTTTGCATCGTATCAATCCGCTAACAACGATGTAGGAGTTGTTCAGACCCTCATGTGTCTCACCACCAGCTACGAAGGATTGATCGCGTGGGTATTCATACCGATCGGTCGTAACTTATATCTCTGACCTCGGATCCAGCGGTCGCTTTTTCTTGGGGTTGACGGAGGCAGGCCTGTTTCCAGGAGTGAGTCTCAAGGCTTGTGTGACGTCTGAATCAATTAATGTGTTCTTTTAGATCACATACTACCTGTCCTTGTGGTACAGGCGCCGCGATGTGGCTGTAAGAATTGCGATTTTCTTTTCGTCCGCGACTATTGCTGGTAAGTTTCCACTCCACAATACGTCGTTTCATTATTTGACGACTATGTAAGGCGCCTTCGGAGGAATCCTTGCGTGAGTGATCCTCTAGCCATTCTTGATTCGTTTATCCAACCGCGACTTTTTAGGTGGGGAATTGAGCACATGGAAGGCATCGGAGGCCTCCATGGTTGGGCGTGGATTGTGAGTCGCGCATGTGTCTCGAGCATTCTGCATAGTCTGACTTGCTGCCAGTTCTGTCTTGAAGGACTTCGTAAGCCCATTTTCCTGGCCCAAGGAACTGATCTGATACTCGCGGACAAAATAGTCACTGTTATCGTCGCGTTTGGTGCTTTCTTCTTCATGCATGATGTATGGCGTGTTCCTTCTTATTTTCGTCATTTCTCTGACACTTCTTTAAGTATCCTGCTACAGCCAAGTTCTTGACCGAGGGCGAGAGAGCGACCGTGATTGCTATGCTCAAGGAGGATGTCCAGGGCCAAGCTACCCACTTCGACAGGAAGTTCGTCTGGCAAGCGTTCAAAGACTACAAGACCTACTTGCAGATGACAATCTATCTTGGTATGCATGCCTCACTTCGACTTCTTTTCGGGGCTCAATATTAGTCGTCATGTAGGCCTTCTCCTGACCGTTTACGCCATCGCCTTATTTGCGCCTACTATCGTCAAGGAACTCGGTAATGATCTCTCTCGAAGATATTTACGCTGTCCTCACATATTCTAGGTTACTCATCCGCACAGGCTCAGCTTCTTACAATCCCCATCTTCGTTGCTGGCTGTATCACCACGCTTTTGTGTTCGTCATTTTGCTCCTCATTCTGCGGTCATCGCTCACGCATCTTCCTCTTAGTTGGTTGGTTGTCTGACAAATATGTCCTTCGTGGACCGATTATCATCGGTAGCAGTCTTCTGTCCATGATTGGGTTCATTGTACTGTACACCCAAGAGAAGCCCGGAGCAGCGTATGCTGGCGCAGTTCTCGCTGCCATGGGTGCTTATCCCACAATTGCTATCGATCTCGCTTGGGCTGGATCTGCAGTTGGTGGAGACACCAGGAAAGGTAATACCTTTTCGACATGGCGAGGGTAACGGAAATTGATCCCCCATACTAGGTGTTGTACTTGCCATGGTTGTCGGCACAGGCAATCTCGGAGGGTAAGATCACATCCCATCATTTCTTCGAGCACTCTTGCTGATACAATTTTGCAGTATCTGCTCGTCTTTCATCTACATTACGCCACCCCGCTTCCACATTGGCCACGGCACGATTTTAGGCTGGCTCGGTCTATCGTAAGTACTCATCGGTTGCCGTTAGATCTCTACTAATGGATACCTTTCGTGCACTTGCAGTATCTTGACGTCCGTTATCACCATGTGGGTATATAACCGCATCAACAAGCAGAAGATTGCTCTGTGCGAGCGGGAGGGCATTGTAGACACCCCCGAGCGAAGGGAGGAGTACAAAGATCTGGGCAATGAAAGCCCACTCTTCCGGTAACGCTAAGTTTTCAAGTCGTCTCTGGATCTCTGGCTCATCAAACTTGCGGCAGATACACCATCTAATCTCATATAATGCGGGAACCTATGTGTCCTGCCCGGCTTTCCGATGCCTATACTATGTCTGTTATTTGTGGGAAGGTTAAAGTTGTATTTGTACATAAATGGGCCACTGAGGTGTATGGACTCTCGAATAGTCAAATCGCTTGAATAGATCGCTACAACTCGTATCATGATACATCATTTTCAACATTATCCGATTGCACTGAGGATGTTCAAATGATGTGGAGCGTAAAGTGTCAGGAGCGCGCGGCTTAAGCCAGCGTGCTAACATACAGGCTTCTTGTGTCGGAGATGGCTGAATATTGCGCAACTACGAAATGTAAATAAATCTTCAACATGCATCTCTGTTCAAAGGTTCAAGATTGGAGTTTCTTCAAGTTACAAAAAATTTTGTCCCAGGGAGGATTCGAACTTCCGGCTTCTCGGAGCAGTTCACCACAACGAGATGATTTAACCACTAATCGACAAGGACGATACAACCTGGCAATGCGTTTAATATATATTGAGGTGGATGCCCTGGAGGGTTTTTGAATCTCCGAAAAACCGTCACCCTTAAGTTCTTGAACATTATTACCGCATTCACCTCCCGCGTGCACGCGGATTCTCCAGCTTGAGTCCGCCGTCGCCATCTTCCAAGTATCCCTTTGGTCTCTGTGGCGCTTGTAAAACCTGCCCTAGCTGGAATACGCGAAGACTATCCCTCGGTGACGGACGGCAATGCATTTGTACAACTTGACTCTCCAGCCGCCTACCGCGATCACACAGGCAATTGTGGGCAACTTTTCTGGTGCCAGGCAGCAAGAAATTATTATATCGCATGGATCACGGCTGGAACTTCTGCGCCCTGATGTCCAGACAGGTAAAATCTCGACTGTCATCGCGACAGACGTTTTTGGGTCCATTCGCTCTCTTGCCGCGTTTCGGTTGACAGGAGGGACCAAGGGTGAGCCCTTGTACGTGTCTGCTTTTCCTGCTCATGTTCACATGAAATACTCTTAGACTATGCGATAGTAGGGTCTGACTCTGGACGTATCGTTATCCTCGACTATGACCCCAAAACAAGCAGCTTCGTGAAGCTGCATCAAGAGACGTACGGAAAGTCAGGATCACGTCGCATTGTCCCCGGCCAATATTTGGCAACAGACCCGAAAGGCCGTAGTGTCATGATATCAGCCATGGAGAAAGCAAAGCTCGTGTATATCCTCAATCGCGACGCTGCCGCCAACTTGACGATATCTTCACCTTTGGAAGCACACAAAAATGCCGCCATCATCCACCATATAGTCGGCTTGGATGTAGGCTTTGAGAATCCAATGTTTGCTGCTCTTGAAGTCGACTATGCCGAATCAGATCAGGACCCGACCGGCGAGGCATTTAATAATGCAGATAAAGTGCGTCTTCAGCAATTTTCCCTTTTACATTGATTCACTTTTATCCCTACAGATGTTGACGTACTACGAATTGGACCTAGGCTTGAATCACGTCGTCCGAAAATGGAGTGAGCCGACCGACCCTCGCGCCAATCTGCTTGTTCAAGTTCCAGGAGGTCAACTGGCCTCCTCCGATCGCTATGACGGACCGTCTGGAGTCCTTGTTTGCTGCGAAGACCATATCATCTATCGGCACATGGACGTACCTCAGCATCGAGTACCGATACCTCGTCGCAAAGGTCCCCTGGAAGACCCCGGTCGAGGACTTATCATCGTGGCAGCGGTTATGCACAAGATGAAGGTTTGTTTTTAGTTTCTCGTACACTCCCTCCTGACTTGATGATGTTTTTTCAGGGCGCATTCTTCTTCCTGCTGCAAAGTGAGGACGGTGATTTGTACAAAGTGACAATCGAACACGAGGAAGAGGATGTCAAGTCTTTAAAGATCAAGTACTTTGATACCGTCCCTGTCGCTTCGAGTCTTTGCATTCTCAAATCTGGTTTCCTTTTTGTTGCGTCTGAATTTGGCAACCAGTACGTCCACCTGTCATGCTCAGATCACCCTAACTTACTTCGTATCCAGTTTCCTGTATCAGTTCCAGAAATTGGGAGATGACGATGATGAGCCCGAATATAGCTCAACGTCATATCCTTCCTTCGGCATGGACGACCCGCGCACACCTTTACCTCACGCGTACTTCCGCCCTCGTCCCCTCGAGAACTTGGTCGTCGCTGACGAACTGGAATCTCTTGACCCCATCATCGATTCCAAGGTTCTCAACGTGCTTCCCAACTCCGACGCGCCCCAAATCTTCACGGCTTGCGGTCGCGGTGCACGGAGTACGTTCCGGACGCTGCGCCATGGTTTGGAAGTCGAAGAATCCGTCAGCTCAGACCTGCCTGGCATTCCAAACGCTGTTTGGACTACCAAGCGGAAAGAAGACGGTAAGCTACCAAGATGAGGACATCCAAATGTTTAGGCTCACACTCGCTTGCAGATCCATACGACTCCTACATCATCCTCTCCTTCGTGAACGGCACCCTCGTCCTGTCGATCGGCGAAACCATAGAAGAAGTCCAGGATACCGGATTTTTGTCCTCCGCACCAACGCTTGCTGTTCAACAAATTGGGGCTGATGCCCTTCTGCAGGTCCACCCGCACGGCATTCGTCACGTCCTTGCAGATCGGCGAGTGAACGAGTGGAGGTCTCCGGAGGGGAAGACGATCGTCAGTGCCACTACGAACAAGAGACAGGTTGTCGTGGCGGTCAGCTCTGCCGAGTTGGTGTACTTTGAGTTGGACTTGGATGGCCAGCTCAACGAATACCAGGATCGGAAGGCCATGGGAAGCACGGTGTTGGCATTGAGCATTGGAGAGGTCCCGGAGGGCAGGCAGCGGACACCTTACCTGGTATGCTCCCCTCATTTCGATTTAACCAACTTTGGCTGACACTTTGCAGGCTGTCGGCTGTGAGGACCAGACAGTCAGAATCGTTTCCTTAGACCCGGAAACCACGCTCGAGACGATCAGTTTGCAGGCTTTGACGGCACCTCCCTCGTCCATCTGTATTGCCGACATGCTCGACGCCAGTATCAACAAATCGCAACCGACGATGTTCGTCAACATCGGTCTGCAGAACGGCGTCTTACTCCGAACGGTTTTGGATCCTATCAACGGACAGCTTACCGACACACGGACTCGGTATGTGTCCACCCACTCATGAAAAATCTTGTCTTGCTCAGTTTTCCTGCAGATTCCTTGGAACACGGCCAATCCGTCTTATTCGTGTTCAGATCCAGCGAAACCCTGCTATCTTAGCTCTTTCCTCCCGGTCATGGTTGAATTATACTCACCAGAATCTCATGCATTTTACCCCCCTTATCTTCGAAAACTTTGATTATGCTTGGAGTTTCTCCGCTGAGCTCAGCCCAGAGGGTCTCATCGGAATCGCTGGCAGCACACTCCGGTAAGACTTCATTCTATGCTCCGTTCCTGCGCCCTCACACCGTTCATTTGTAGCATCTTCCAGATCCCGAAGTTGGGCACGAAGTTGAAACAGGATTCCATCCCTCTATCTTACACTCCCCGCAAGTTCATCACGCACCCGTCAAATCACTACTTCTACCTTATTGAGGGTGATCACCGGGTTGCGGGTGAGGACGCAGTGAACAAGCGCCTTGATGCACTCGTACGTCCGCTTCCTTAATCATCCTTTCATGACTGAGCTCATGTGCTTCCAGCGACAACAAGGAAAGAGGATCGACGACGAGGTGGTGAACCTGCCACCAGAAACTTTTGGTCGACCGAAGGCTCCTGCTGGAACTTGGGCTTCATGCATCCGCATCATTGACCCCGTAGAGGTGAGATTCAGGACTAACTTACTGAAGACAGTCTACTGATTCCCGATTCTTGCAAAGGCAAAGACTGTTGCGCTGATTCCCCTCGAAGGCAATGAGGCTGCCTTTTCTCTGGCCGTTGTTCCTTTCTCAGCGAGGAACGGCGAGTTGCACCTCGTGGTGGGCACAGCGGCGGATACTCTCATCTCCCCTCGGTCATGCTCAAGTGGCTACCTTCGGACGTACAAGTTTATAGACGATGGTGCTGGACTTGAGCTAGTCCACAAGGTTTGTAGATCTACTTTCGACGTTCATACATAAGCTCATCGGACTACCAGACGGAAACGGACGACGTTCCTCTAGCACTGTTGGCGTTCCAAGGTCGGCTCGTAGCAGGCGTTGGGAAGGCTCTGAGAATATACGACATTGGAAAGAAAAAGCTTCTTCGCAAAGTCGAAAACAAGGTACGATTCTCCACACCTACTTTTGGGCCAACAAAATTTAATCCTCATCCTCATAGACTTTCTCCTCCGCCATTGTCACTCTGGCTACTCAAGGCTCGCGTATCATCGTTGGCGATATGCAGGAGTCCATTGCATTCGCCACCTACAAGCCTCCGGAGAATCGTCTACTTGTGTTTGCGGACGACAGCCAGCCCAGATGGGTCACCTCTATGACGATGGTGGACTACAACACCGTCGCAGCTGGTGACCGTTTCGGCAACATCTTCGTAAACCGACTGGACTCCAAAGTCTCCGAACAGGTCGACGACGATCCCACCGGAGCTGGAATTCTCCACGAAAAAGGCATCCTTATGGGCGCGCCTCACAAGACTAAGATGCTCACGCACTTCCACGTCGGGGACATCGTCACCTCAATACACAAGGTGTCGCTCGTCGCAGGTGGTCGCGAAGTCCTCCTGTACACATGTCTCCATGGCACGGTCGGCATTTTGGTGCCCTTCCTGTCAAAGGAAGACGTCGACTTCATTTCGACGCTTGAGCAACACATGCGGACGGAGCAGAGCAGTCTGGTCGGACGCGACCAGCTTAGCTGGAGAGGTTATTATGTCCCCGTGAAGGCTGTCGTGGACGGTGACCTGTGCGAAACCTTCGCGAGGTTACCCGCCGCGAAACAGAGCTCGATTGCTGGGGAGCTTGACCGGACAATCGGGGAGGTGTTGAAGAAGTTGGAGCAGCTGAGGGTGACGAGCAGCGGTTTCTAGTGCCTGAATGTTTCTGTCTTTTTTGCTGTCAAAATCTGTATCCATTGCCATTTAAACGCTTCAAACTGCTCAGCATCGTAATTTCTTTCTCTTGTACTTGCCAATGCCGAGGAGGTCACCGTATCCAGCTCCCTGGTTTCAAGTAGATCTTTCTTAAATTTAAACATCAACTTGTCAAGTTTCATAGTTACAGTAAACCACAATGTTCAACATCGCAGCCCGGACAGCGTTCAGAGTCTCGCGCCCTCGCATCGCTGCATTTTCTGACAGGGCGTTGAACTACCCCACACGGTCGCTTATTACTCTCAAAGACCACAAGGTTCCCCTGATCTGTCCACACTCCGACGTGCTCTTGCTGAAATGTCGCTTGCTTCCAGTACACCGCCCATGCAACCTGACATGCATTGGAGACTCATTCCTTGTTGCAGTTCTGCCCCTACAGCCGCGCTTTGCAGCATGGCGTTGAAGTGACCGTCTCAAA